TTGGGGTTTGTTTAATTTGGAGTCCTAGGAAGAAGTTTAGTTCACCCATCATACTCATCTCAAATCCGCTATTCATTAGTTGAGCAAATTCAACTCCTAGTACTTCATCAGTTCCTCCAAATATGATATCATCAATATAAACCTGAACTATAAATAGATCTTTACCTTGCTTTCGAAGAAACAATGTATTGTCTATTTTCCCTCTAGAGTAACCGTGTGTGAGAAGGAACGTGGACAATCGATCGTACCATGCTCTTGGTGCTTGCTTCAACCCATACAGTGCTTTATCTAGCTTGTATACATATTCAGGGTGTTCAAGATCTTCAAAGCCAGGAGGTTATTTCACATATACCTCTTCTTGCAGATAACCATTTAAAAAGGCACTTTTAACATCCATCTGATAAAGCTTGAATTCCATGTGAGGAGCATATGATATCAACATTCTAATTGCCTCCATTCTTGCTACGGGAGCAAAAGTTTCATCATAGTCTATTCCTTCTTCTTGATTATATCCCTGCACGACTAGTCTGGCTTTGTTGCGTGTGACCTGCCCTTGTTTGTCAAGTTTATTTCTGAAAACCCATCTTGTTCCTATCACTGTTCTGTTTGAGGTCGTGGAACTAGATTCCATACTCTGCTTCGTTCAAACTGATTCAGTTCTTCTTGCATAGCAGTAATCCAGTCAGGATCCAACAATGCCTCTTTTATATTCTTTGGTTCAATTAAGGATACATAAGCTGAGAATGCACACATGTTTCATAATTTGGATCTTGTATGGATTCCTGAATCTAGAGGAGTGAGAATATTTTGGATAGGGTGTGAGCTTTGGTGTTTTCAGTTGTGAGGTTGATTTTCATGGGTGCTTTCAGAGGAAGGGGGACCTGATTCAATAATATTTTCATCTTCTGTCACAGGTGTTTTTTTGAGGGAATATGGGATCTGGCTCATTGATTTTTGATTATGATGGGTTTGTCATTCCTATTTCGTTTTGATCATCCTCTGAATTCTCTTCTATTGAGTTATTTCCTTCATCAAAGATAACATGGATGCTTTCCTCCATACGATTTGTTCTTTTGTTAAGTACTTTGTAGGCTTTACTTTGTGGTGAATATCCGAGAAAAATTCCTTCATCACTTTTGGCATCGAATTTTCCTAAGATATCTTTGTCATTGTTATGTATATAGCAGGTGCACCCAAAGGCTCTAAGATGTGTTAAGTTTGGCTTTCTTCCCTTCAGCAATTCATATGGAGTCTTGTTTAACACCGACCTGATCATACACCTATTTATAAGATAGCATGCCGTGTTTACGGCCTCAGCCCAGTAGGTTTTTGGAAGTTTGCTTGAGATCAGCATGGTTCTTGCGACATCTTCGAGTGTTCTATTTTTACGTTCAACTACACCGTTTTGCTGTGGTGTTCTAGGTGCTGAAAAGTTATGCTCAACACCGTTTGTGGCACAGAATTCCATGACTTTTGAGTTTTCAAACTCTAGTCCATGATCGGAGCGGATGCTAGTGATTTCCTTGTTGAATTTCTTCTGGACCAGTTTTGCGAAGATTTCGAATATGGTATATGTCTCATCTTTTGTTGCAAGGAATAATGTCCATGTGAATCTTGAGTAGTCGTCTACAATTACGAATACATACCTTTTGCCTCCTCTACTTTGTACACGCATCGGCCCACATAAATCCATGTGAAGTAGTTCTAGTGGCCTGGTAGTGCTAACCATCAATTTAGGTTTGAATGAGGATATTACTTGTTTCCCTCGAATACATGTTCCACATACCTTATCATAATTAAAGCTTTTGGTTGGAAGCCCTCAAACTAGATCCTTGGATATGAGTTTGTTTATTGTCGAAAGACTGATGTGTCCCATCCTTTTGTGCCAGAGAATAGACCAATCAGTGACTGCGCTGAGACACTTGAGTGTATTTTCCTTAGGATTCATGATATTTGTCTTATACACATTCTTATGCCTTTTTCCTAAAAGAACCAGTTTCCCGGAAGCTGAGTTTGTCACCTTACATTCTTTAGCTGTGAAGAGCACACTAATTCCTTTGTCGCACATTTTGAGATACGCTAAGCAGATTATGTTGTAGTCCCTTCACATAGTACACATTGTCAATTGCATGAGTATGCATTGATTCAACCTGTCCAATTCCTTGTATTTCTCCATTTTTTTCGTTTCCAAAGGCCACGTTTTCGCCTTTGAAGTTTCTCAGTGAGAGAAAGTTACTTTTGTCCCCAGTCATGTACCTGGAGCACGTGCTGTCCAGGTACCATTGCTTCAGCTCTTTCCTCACTAATCCCTGCAATTAACAGTTATGAGTTAGTTTTGGGTACCTAGATCCACTTGGGTCCCTTTTTATTAGAAAAAAGATGAATAAGATTCTTCTTAGCCTATCTAGGGAGGGGTTTGGTGTTAGGAATTTTTTCTGTAACTCTCTTGGGATGTGGCTTTCTTAAGTAGGTTAGATTATTTTCATAAGCAGTTAATTTCCTATGACAATCGTAACTTTTATGCCCAGTAAATCCGCAATGCACGCATAGACAATCTATGTTGGGATTTTTTACTTGGGAATTTTTGTCGAAACCTATTCCATGTTTTGTAGAGGTTTGACTCTTGTGAATATTATCGAGTAGTATGGAGGACCTGGCCCATCTCATACTATTTTCTGCTTCAGCTTTAGACATATGAAGTTCTTTGTTCAGTTCTTCATTCCTCTTAGTCATGGAATCTAAGTTTTTATTTAGCTCTGTTATTTTGCTTAAAAGGCGGTGATTTTGTTTTTCAAGATTCTCATTTTCTTCTCTTAGTGATGCATAGTCTTCCATTATTAATTCCCTTCTTGAGTCTGCAGACTGATATGCATTAATGAGAGTGTATAATAATGACTCTAATTCCCTTTTTGAATATGAGCTAAGATTATTTTTTACGTGATGAAGACTTACCTTGCCATGTATGTCTTCCTCCTCATCCTCTTCAGAATCTGATCCAGCCATAAGTGTTTGGATTGTTTCTTGTGATTTACAGATGTTCCTCTCTTCTTCTTCTGATTCTGATATGGCAAGTAGAGCAAGAAAGTCATATTCATCGGATTTCTCGATCGCAAGAAATGACTTATTTTCCAGTTCTTCATCCTCAGATTCTTCTTCAGACAGATTTCCCATTGCTGCGAAAGCTTTCTTCTTGGACAGATCTGCCTCTTGATTCGTCATTCGTCTGTTTGAGGGAATATATTTGTCATTCTTGATTTCCCTTAATTTTTCCGAGGTGCCTCTTTTCTGCTCCAAAGCCCAAAGTGGGCAAAACTTGATGAAGTGATCTGGACTTCCACACTTATGACACACTTGTTCTTTTGTATTCTCATTTATTTTCTGAAGATTTCTTCTTTGAAATACTTGCCTTCTCTTTAACATTCTGGAAAACCTTTTGGTCATTAGTGCAATATTTTCATCCTCAAAGTCTTCTGGTACAGTAGCCTTTAGGACTAGGTTCCTTTCCTTTCTCTTCCCTCCGATTTCTTTTTCTTGAGTTCATATGTGATGAGATTTTCAATTAATTCGTCCATAGCTAGCGCATCCAAATCACGAGCTTCAGTGATTGCTTCAACTTTGCTTTCCCATGATTCAGGGAGAACACTTAAGAGTTTTCTTACTGCCTTTCCATTCGGAACTATTTCTCCTAAAGAGTACATCTCGTTAATGATTGAGGTGAACCTGGTGTGCATTTCTTGTATAGTTTCACCCTCTGCCATTCGAAACAATTCATATTGCCTGTTTAGATTATCGACTTTAGACTTCTTTACTTGAGTTGTTCCCTCGTGAGCAGTTTGTAAAGTTTCCCATATAGATTTAGCATCCTGACATGATGAGATTTGATTGTATTCATCTGGACCTATACCGCATATCAAGATTTTCTTGGCCTTGGCATTGTTCTGGATAGCTAGTTTGTCTGCAACGTCCCATTCCTTCCTTTCTTTTGGTATCTTGGTAACTCCATCAGTTCCAGTTTTCATAGGTATGGTTGGTCCGTCCAGAATAACTCCCCATAAATCAGGGTTTTCTCTGATAAGGTGATCCATCATGCGATTTTTCCATCATCCGTAGTGCTTTCCATTGAACAGTGGTGGTCGAGTTTGTGAAGCTCCTTCTTGTGGGGTTGGTGGTGCTGCCATTGATTCTTTTCAAGATATGAATCTTTTAACGAAAAAGACCTGCTCTGATACCAATTGAAGAAACCTTACCCCTAGAACAAAAACCATGTTCTTGTATATGTGCCTATGACAGAACACTTTAACAGCCACACAATACTCTTTGTTAAAACCTTCCTCACTCAAGGAAGGAAAAACCTTGTTTTATTATTTAACAATTATGTCACGATTACAACTCAATAATCAATAACCTCAAAAAAACTCTCGACTAACTATAGTCGACTAACTCTACTCTCCAAGAGGTCAAACCCACCTCTTGTTACAAACCTCTCAATAACTCAACTCTACAAGAAGCCAAACCCACTTCTTGTACAAAAGATCTATGACAATGATTCTAACTATGAATCAAAAACACTTTTCTCACACAAGAAATTCTAACTATAGAACTTCTTGAATTCTATTCCTAAGAACTCTCAATATAGTAGGCTTTTGCGTATTTTCTCACTCTTTCTTCCTCTTGTTTCTCGATTCTGCAAAAGACAATTTGTCCCGTCTGCTTTGACATCTTTTTATAGAGTTGGAAGATTGGTGTCCGGTGTGTACAAGGAAACGAAATAAAGTTGTGTACGAAAAGGATTTATTTTGACCTTTTATTACAAATCCTGTTAGTACACAACTTCCTCTTTTATTTGTTCCCTTCTTTAGCTCTGCTTTCTTGCTTTAAAGTTTTCCTTCTTTGACTCTTCTTTTTGAACTCCTTTTGAAATCGGATTGCATATCAAGATGTGTCTATCATCAAAACTTCATAAATCATCAGAATTTTTTTAATTGATATATATAAATTTTCCCTATGTTGTTTCAGTGGATAATCCTTCTGAAGGACTGAAAGTTCGAAGCAAACTATTGAGGAAAACTAGTTTAAGTGACGACTTTTGGAGCGCTCGTACTAGTGCATGTGAGATGGAGGGAAGCAATTCAGAATTTGTTAATCATGGTAAGTACATACTTTTCACTCTTTTTATTTTCTTTTATGTTATGATTGAATTTAACATTGCCTGGAACAGGTCTACTTCTCTGGAATCAAACGAGGCAACAATGGTGTGGAAATAAAACACCGCAGAAGAATGCTTCAGTTGGAGAACCCAAATTAAGGTAAGTTTCTCACATTTTTGCTAGTGTAAGCATGAATGAACTATGAAATTTGTGTTGCTTCTTTCAACTATCGCGCACTAAACTATAGTACATACATTTTAATAAGTTTGTTCTATCATCATAATTGCAGTTTATATACAAGCTATGAAATGTTCCTAGAGACCAATAAGCTTTTTCCTCAACCAATTCCTTTACCGGTAAGTTATCAAATTATGTAAGGTAGTTTTCTTTCCATTTTGTTTGTAGCTAGTTGCTAACTGTTGTGAATTTTTTACTAGGAAATGGTAGACTTTCTTGTTGATGTGTGGGAGCAGGAGGGGCTTTATGATAAAGCAACCACATAACTCATTATTCTCACCAACTGCAAATTGTGTTATGGAACTTCTACACAAGTCAAGACATAAAAAAAAATCATATAGGGATACCAACAAATGAAACTTCAATTTTATTTCCCAATTCAGATTAAACTTTGACTTCTTGTCCTTTTTTTTCACATTAAAACTAGCGCATTTTAAAGGGGTTATTCACAGAAATATCTTTATTGCGCGGTGGTCTTTAATTTTTATCTTTAAAATTTGATGGTTACTTTTTTTCTTCATCACTTTAAGTAAAAAGAAAATGAACTCAAATATCTCTAGTGTGTGTGTTTATATGTATATTATTTAGTATTAAATAAGCTGCTAGTAAAGATTTAAAATATCATAAGGTCAAGATCCAAAATTAAGTATTTAGAGTTATTTACATACCCATAGATATAAAAACCGTTTATCAACTCTGGTAGTATACTTATGCTATTATTAGCTTTCTTAAAAGAAGAGTAAGATTTATCATATTTGGAAATATGAAAAGAATTGGAAGTGGCCGTCCTTTTCTTCAAATATTCAACTCAATTCTTTGATAGTCTTGTGGTGAATTTTGAAGTTGAGAGTAGAAAAGAATTGTGCTAGAGAAATTGGGATTTGGGAGTGGTGGAAGGCCAATGGAGAGAAGAAAGAATAATCGAGAAGCCGAAAGACCATAGTCAAAAGACAAAATTACCCTCACTTTTGATTTAACTATCAAAATTAGAAATCTGTCCAACTTTTGTTGCACAATGTACAATAAAATTAAGCTGTGGTCGTCCTACCTTTCATGCTTCTACATAGTATATATATAGACTAGATGGTTCTTGCCCGTGCTAAGCACGGGCCCAACAATTTAATTTATGATATAATTTTATTGTGTTTGATCTTTCTAGGAAATATGTTCGAGAAACCAAGTACCATAATTAACATTTTTATACAAAAAAATTACATTAGACAAAAAATAAAAGTACGAACATTAAGTAAAAGCTTTTATAATGATCAATAATCTTAGTGAGCTCTAGCTTTGAATCGATCAAGAAGTTCCTAAATTGTATCAACCTTTTTTTTAGGGCTTTTGTTCTTGCACTTGAACTCCACTCTGAACAGTCTTTACCCAAGTACAAATATAGTTGTGAACTGCCAGGACATCGTGGGGAGGGAACTTACATTCAGAAATTTTACAGAAATCTCCACCAACAGGCAACATATTCACTAATCTTCATCTTGATCACACTAAATAATATTGATCCACAAAAGTTATGATCAATCTTCTACTCTTAACAAAAACAAACAAATAGTAATAATAATTACGATCAGTAGGTCATTTCTGAGTTTCAGTATCTCTTGCTCAAGCACCTCGGAATGTGATCCCTATGTAAGAGGTTTCATCCCATATTAGATATTTTTGTGCAACTTATGAATATGAATCTTGAGATCGAGACAAGACAATCACCTGAAGTTTCATGCGTAGTACTTCCATTCCCCTTTTTGGCTGCTTAAGGCTACATCATTTAGCATTTACAAAGAAGTTGAACTACAATAAGCTTAGCCTTAGACGTCAAAGAAAGAAGCTAGTAATTAATAATAAGTTTCATTATTTGGTTCCACTGGGAAGAAAATTTGCAAGAAAGGATTCTACAAGGATGAAACTTGTTATTTGTAAGATAATAAAAATTAAAACCAGTTAAAGAATGCTCTATATATACTGCTTGTAGGTAAAACTCACCTCCCTTTTGCTTTAAAAATTGGTGCTCGAATAGATGTTTTAGACTACACTCTATAGCATCGATATACCAACACGAAATTAACTATTGCATCATTTAGGAGTTTTCAGAAAAAAACAAATCTTTTTGAATGAGATTTGTTAAACCTTGGTTATGACACAAAAAGAATATAGTGCCTAAGTGCTGAAATTGCATTGGAGCTTGATTTGAAAGTTTTGAATGCAAGGTATAGTGTAGAGCCGTCAATATGGGCTAGGTCCGTTGGGTTGGCCTGGTCTAATCCATGATTTGATAGGGTTGAGCTACGATATTTAGAGCCCATTTAAGAAAAGGGCTTTTTAACCCGGCCTGAATAAGCTTGTCGATTTGAAGGGCTTGAGAAATATGGATAGGGCCGGCCCGTGGGCCAAATAAAAATTAATTAAAAAATAAAAATAAAATAGATTATTAAAAATAACAAGAGTCTAAACTCAAAATTTGTTTAAAGTTTGAAATATTACAATTTAAATACAAATTATGTTTATAAAATATGTACTACATAAAATAAAAATTCCCTAAAATTTCTAGGGAATCACTATATAGGCCATATCCTATGAAATATTGTCATAGTTTTTGTGTTTTATTATGATAATTGGAAAACAATTCGATTAATATTTCTATTTAGCTATTTATGCTTTTACTTGATCAAACTTAATAAATATTATAAAGATAATTTTATTTGTGTATTTGATTAACAAGTAGTAACACTAACACCATGTAATATTGTTTTGTTGATATTTATGATAATATTTTTAAATTATAATTTAATTTAAAAAATTATAAAAAATATACTTTTAAGAAAAGAGGGTTGGCCTGGCAAAACCCGTAGCCCACATACTAGTATAGTGTCTTAGGAACTAATGTTAAACTAACCTGATTATAGTAACAGGAAAACTTCTACTCACCGCAACATACGTGACCATTAAATCTCATTAGAGTGGATCATGAACAAGTAATTACATAAAAGGAATAGTAAATGGAGGCAGGCCTCATTGACTTGAACACAGTTGGTGATCCGTTTAACTCTGCTAGCAAATTGGAGTATTCCCTTTAATACTACACATAACTATTATGATTTGGGTATCAATGTAAAATTTCAAACAAAATGAGAATCAGCTTGTGTCGATTTGCGCTGCTTCAAATCTTAGTTGTTAAATGGAACTAACACCGTCTTTTTGAAGGAAAAAAAGGGACATACAATGTATGTAATCTAGAAACGCAACTCAATTGAAGAGATAAAAATATAGAATAGTGCCATTGATTTAGAGAAATAAAGAACTAGCTAAGAGAAAAATGAAACTGAAAAGGAGAACAAAAATGACTCGCAAAAAAAAAATGAAGCAATTGTGCCGCCGGCAACTAACCCTTCTCTTTTTATTTTTTCAATGTATTTTCAACTCAAAGTTTCAGTAGTTCCTTCCATTGATAGACAAAAAATGTTGAGCAAAGACCTGGCAACAACCACCCGTAGCCCACATACTAGTATAGTGTCTTAGGAACTAATGTTAAACTAACCTGATTATAGTAACAGGAAAACTTCTACTCACCGCAACATACGTGACCATTAAATCTCATTAGAGTGGATCATGAACAAGTAATTACATAAAAGGAATAGTAAATGGAGGCAGGCCTCATTGACTTGAACACAGTTGGTGATCCGTTTAACTCTGCTAGCAAATTGGAGTATTCCCTTTAATACTACACATAACTATTATGATTTGGGTATCAATGTAAAATTTCAAACAAAATGAGAATCAGCTTGTGTCGATTTGCGCTGCTTCAAATCTTAGTTGTTAAATGGAACTAACACCGTCTTTTTGAAGGAAAAAAAGGGACATACAATGTATGTAATCTAGAAACGCAACTCAATTGAAGAGATAAAAATATAGAATAGTGCCGCTGGTTTAGAAAAATAAGGAAATAGCTAAGAGAAAAATGAAACTGAAAAGGAGAACAAAAATGACTCGCAAAAAAAAAATGAAGCAATTGTGCCGCCGGCAACTAACCCTTCTCTTTTTATTTTTTCAATGTATTTTCAACTCAAAGTTTCAGTAGTTCCTTCCATTGATAGACAAAAAATGTTGAGCAAAGACCTGGCAACAACCAATGGCATAGCCAGAAATTTCATTAAGGGTGTCCAAACTTTGAATAATATTTTTTTTTAAAATGACGATTTAAATTACCAAAATAAATAATCAAGTTAAGCAATATTTAATTAAATATAATAATATTTTTAATAGAATTACAAGTGTATAATTCAAAACTAACATAAAGACAAAAGAAACTACTATTGAAAACATAATTTAAATATATTATTACAATGGTACTCGACGAGGTTTCATATCCTGAAACGTTTTTATAATAGACTCATTAGAAATAGTACGAAATACTTTCTTTTCTGCATAAGGCAATATACAATCGTCTAAAAACTCATCATCCATTCGATTTCGCAAATTTTGAATACACTTCATTTCTGAGAAAGAAAACCTTATTCCACAAGAAAAAAATATTAAAATTTAAGAAAATCTTATTCCACAAGGAAAAAGTATTAAAATTTAAGGAAATAATTCAATTTTATTTGAAAAAAATCCACAAGGAAAAAGTATTAAATTTAAGGAAATCTTATTCCACAGGGAAAAAGTACTAAATTTAAGGAAATAATTCAATTTTAACTGGAAAAAAAATAGTTAGTGGAGGTAAGATTCGAACTTGGGTCCTTGAAGCCAATAATAACACTATTAACCACCAAGCTACTGAACATTTCTGTTAAAGTTACGCATATTTATTTAATTACCAAATTCAAGAAGGTAAAATAATTACAGAAAAATGAAACACTCCTATAGGGAATCAAACTGGGGCAGAGAGTAGGTTTGCGACGGCTATAGCCAGCTCCACTACACATTACTTTGTTATTAAAGGGTGTCCAAATTCTATATATACAAATATAAAGTCAAAACTTTACATGTATATATAGTATAATTTTTCGACGAATTGGACACCCTGGAGCCTACATGGCTCCGCCCCTGGAAACAACCATGAAATGAGACCTGGCAACATCAACACCTCAAATCACGATGTTCCTAATTCCCATCATTGGAGACGCTTGGAGAGAAAATATGTGGACAACAATCAATCTCCAAAAGAAATGACAAGAGTTAGGTGAAGGAAACAAGTGATTCTAGATAGACAAATTTAGTTGAGGAAGAAGAACATATTTCTTCACCTGCAAGGAGTAAGTTAAGTCCTCAAATAACCATATTTGTACCTTCAAGTAAGGCAAATCCATTTATGACAGTGAAAATTGATAACTCCACCTAAGATCTTGACCATTACCACCAAGGTATTGAAAAAAATCCATGAGCCATAAGTTGTAGTTTCAAGACTTAATTAGTCCAACTACAACTTATGATGGTGACTTGGGCAGTGAAATGTTTGACGAGGATGATGAGGATGATATGCTAGACATATTATTTGATAAGGTATCTAAGGATAGGGATATCTCGCCTAGGCAACAAATTAGTGGAAGCAACAAAAGCAAAAAGAAGACACATGAAAGACAACATAGTTGGGATGGTAAGGTGACTGGGGAATTTATTCCAAGGCACCTACAAATGCGACTGAAAAAGCAAAATCATATGATCGTTTCAACAACAACAAGATCCAATAAATCCAAAAAAAAGTGATGAATTATCAAGTTTTGTTGGACATATTTGACGAGGAAGACAAGAGGGAAATACTTCAGGTTACTTTACACGGGCAATCCATCTCTTTTGATTCTTACATATACAAAATGAAGTTTGAGGTTGATAACTCATATTCTTGGATTTTATATTTTTGCATTACTTAAGTATCCTCATTTGTAGTATCATCACAAAATGTATTATAAACTCTATGATGATCATAGAATATCTACTTTTCTCTAGCTTTTATTTTTCTTCATGCTTGTTAATTAGTAGACGTTCGTTACCTCATTAAGATTAGTAAGGTAAGGCCTATCCCCCCTTGCTTTTACTTTTTTCTTTGAGATCCTTTTCTCTTTATTAATAAAACTATCCCTAAGCACACCTTGCATAGCGGAATTGCTTAAATTTTTTTGGATATCCTTTCTTATATATAGTAGTACTACCTTTTTAATTTACTTAAAAAGCTTTGATGGTTAATAGTTATACTTATAAATGTAAAAATGGTCAAAATTTATTCTTTACTTCGAGAAAAAATCAATTTTATTCTTCATTATGCTATTAATTTAAAATTACACTACCATTACTTGAATAATTCAAATATAAATGTAAAAGGTGAACACTTGATCCAATATAATAGCAGACATTTTGAAGAAACAAATATTACGTGGCATGTCATCTCAATGTCCCAACCCATTTTAGCCTCCCCTCCACTTGTTCTTCCGCCATTAATGTTTCTATTCTTATAACAATCACTAATATTGTGTGATTAAAAAGGGTGAAGTGTTGTGCTCAAATGAGATGAATATTATTTATCTAGATGAAAATAATTAGTGATGGAAGAACAAGTAAAAGGAAGAGGTAAAATGCGTTTTTAGGATATTGAGGTAGGATGTCATGTAGTGTTCATCTCATCATTTTTTTTAAAAAAAAGAAGAAGATGAAGGTGTTTATGTAATTGGTAATCTTTCTTTTGGTTGATTGTCTATTTTTGGTCTCAATAAGGAGTTTTTTGAGCTTGAAAGATTCAAATATTAAATTCCCAATAGTTTTCAACCATACCCACGTGTAGAGTCTTGAAATATAGAGGTATCTTCTTGATTCTTTCATCTTTTCGCTTAAAGCTTGTGCTTTTTTTTCTCTTTCTTCTTCTATGATTGATTTAGTCCATTAAGAGCATATTTTGTGACTATCTGTTGAGGCAGAATATCAATTCAAAGGATAGTTGATGTAGGATGGTCTTTGTCTGATGTTTTTAATCTTCTAGTTTTTCAGAAACACGAAGCTTTTTCCAAGCTTCATATCCAAGTAGAAATAAATCATCTATGCTTTTATCATGTGGGGAAAATGGGAAGAGGATTTGTGTCACTACCGCTTTTGGAAATTTTGAGCAGAGGAATCATTCTTCCACTAAAATCTTTATTGATAAATTCCTCTTTGAGGTATTCAAGCGTCTACCCAGTGGCAGTGAGACAAGTGCTTATGCTTGTGTTTCTAAGCGATGGCTCACACTTTTAAGCAGTGTTCACAAGGATGAGATCACAGAATCTAAGAGATATCTTGCCAGGTCCCTTGTTGGTAGGAAAGTCACAATTGCCAGACTTGCTGCTATTGCCATTAGAACTTCAAAACATGGAGGTTTAGCAAAGATATCTATTCGGGGAAACAACGTTTGTCGTGGTGTGACTGATGTTGGTTTCAAGGATATTTCTCGAGGTTTCCCTACTCTCAGAGAACTTTCCTTGTGGAATGTGTCTTCTTTTGGTGATGAAAGTTTATTTGATATTGTCCATGGATGTCATTTGTTAGAGAAACTTGATCTTTTCCAATGCCCAAGAAATAGAGGTATTCTTGATTCTTTCATGTTTTCGCATAAAGCTTGTGCCTTTATCTTATTTTTTATTTCCCTTTTAAACTTTTGGGGTTCTACATTTTGCACTAAAATTGGTTCTTGATTGTGTAGTGAAGATGCTTTGCCTTTTTTTCTTTTCTTTCTTCTTCTGTGATTGATTTAGTCCATTACACACCCAATTTCTACTGTAAGACATAATCCACGGGGAGCCTCAGAATTAGTCTGGATGCCTCGAAACCTAAACAAAGGTTTGTTCTAGACCAAACTAAACATTTTAGGACTAACTGCGCTGAAAGAATTCTCATTCGAGCTTGTTTACTCAAAATATTGACTAAAGTCAAACTTAGGCCTTAACTTGAAAGTTAAAACGCTTAATCACATTGACTCACACTGAAAGCCTCGGGACTTGTGTCAACTTTGCCACTAGCCTAAAATGACCCTTCAGGACATGATGGAAACGTCAGAATTGGATTCTGAGGTCATCTTCCTAAACTTCTAATAAAAATTGACAGTTCAAGGTTCAAAAGCTCCAAAATACTAAAACTCGTATAATTTTTTTTAAAAATGATGTTGATATTATATTTCGAAATGATTTCCGTTACACCATCAATATGTGTAAAGCTTTCATAGCAAAATTTATTTACTTCTGTACTTCCATCCAATTGATGTAGCCTATTTTTTAGGTCCGGGTGGTTCTACATGTCTGGAGCATAGGAGTCCTGATGCGGTGAATGAGAGTCGAATGATGAATTCATCTAGGACACACACTTGTGATCCTACTCTTGTTCCTTCCCGGAAGTAAGTACCCTTCATCGTGTACAATTATTACTAATTTGAATTCAACACATGCCTATTTTTTGATGGCCCATCATTGCTAGTATTCAACTGTCTGATTAACCTACTCTTTGGAATTTCCCTATTGATAAGTACGGAAACATATATAATACATTTTTTCAACAATGTAATGTTGGTCCATGAGGAGATGGCCTAGTGGTTAAGGCATATGACTAACAACTTGGACATTCTAGGTTTGAATACCAGCTAAAACACATGGTGTGTCCATCTAATCTAGCCTTACTGGGCAGCATTACCTTGTCAATATGTGCTTGTGGGATGGATAAGTTGTCCAATGAATTATTTGGGGTACATGCAAGTTGGTAGGGACACCATTAGTATTGCTAAAATAATGAGTAGCCACTCAAAATATATATGACATAATGATAATCTGAGTGTGTACTGCTTAGTCAGATGATAATTGATCTAATCTCTCTTCCTCTTTGCATTTCAGGGGGAGTTTTAACATATTAGGTGCTTTAAAATTTGTACCTGGGATGCTCAATAGTTGTATTTGGGCTCATCCTCCTCCTTATTTTTTTAGTTTACTTGAAAATTCTAAGAGACATTGATCTTTTTACACAAGGGGTTGTTCCTCTAGAAAGAAATTGCTAGTTAGATTATCAGTTTTGCTTTCCTTTTTGAATATTTATTGCATGTTGTGGCATTTAATTCTCATAAATACTGTTGTATCTTTTATGCATACATAGTCCTCTTCTTGTTTTAAAAATATTCAGCTTTTTCTCTTCCTTTTAGATATTGCATGCTGGGCTATTATGTTGATGTACCAGTGAATTGGTGTTGTGAAGAATGTGATATTGGCAAAGGGATAATGTCTTCATCAAGCGGACTAGAAATTGTGCATTATGAGGGATCCAAGTTACATGCCTCTGAAAAGATTTGTCAGAGTATTATGCAACCAAAGAAACATAGTAAGTTTCCTGGTGGACATCGTTTTAACTGGGAAAAAGAGGTACGGACCGGGAAATTGAGATATCTACCTGTTGAAGAAGCACTTGATTTGTCATCAAGCATCAAGAAATATGGATCTCCGCTGATAGATACGGTCTCCTCAAGAGTTGTGTCAACCAAATCCATGGCAACTATGACGAGAGGGATTTTTAGCAAGCCTAGAGCTCAAATTTCAAACTCTTTTCGTGAGAAGAGAAAAATGCAGCTGCCTTTAGGATCAACAGGATATACGAAACCTCAAAATCTTCAAATTGCCGAAAACACTAAACAGAGCAAAAAAACAGTACAATTATCTAAAGGTTAAGTGTTCACCAATATATTTTGTATTAATTACTTGATTTGATTTATCCTCTTCTTATACCTTAATTATTCTTCAGAAATTTCATTTTCTAGCATATACTCTAAATAGTTTTTAAAAATAAAATGATGTTGATATATCTAGAGTTGATATTATCTTTCAAAATAATTTCCGTTACACCATCAATATCTATAAAGCTTTCATAGCAAAAATTATTTACTTATGTACTTCCATCCAATTAATGTAGCCTCTTTTTTAGGTCCGAATGGTTCTACTAGTCTGGAGCATAGGAGTCCTGATGTTATGAATAAGAGTCGAATGACGAATTCATCTATGACACACCCTTGTGATTATGTTCTAGTTCCTTCCCAGAAGTAAGTATCCTTCATAGTATACAATTATTACTAATTCAAATTCAGCTCATGTATGTTTCTAGATGGCCCATCTTTGCTAGTAGTCAGCTGACTAATTAACCTAATCTTTGTAATTTTCTTATTGATAAGTACGGAAACATATATAATACATTTTGTCAACAACATAATGTTGGTCCACGAGGAGATGGCCATGTGGTTAAGGCATAAGACTAACAACTTCGACATTCTAGGTCTGAATCCCAGCTACAACACATGGTGCGCCCATCTGATCTAGCCTTACTGGGAAGCATTAACGTGTCAATATGTGTTTGTGGGATGGACTAGTTGCCCAATGAATTAGTTGGGGTACATGCAAGTTGGTTGGGACACCATTAGTATTGCTAAAATAATGAGTAGGGCACTGAAGAATATATGACATAATGATAATCTGAATGTGTACTGCTTAGTCAGATGATAATTGATCTAATCTCTCTTCCTCTTTGCATTTCAGGGGAAGTTCTGACATCTTAGGTGCTTTGGAATTTTTACCTAGGATGCTCAATAGTTGTATCAAGGCTCATCCTCCTTCTAGAGCTAGACGTAAGGTGTATGAGTTCTCAGGTCTTTTTCCTGATACTCTTAAATTTGAACTTGTTCCCTGTGGGGATATTTGGGAAAGTCTATTTAACAATCATATTCCGAGTAAAGAAGATATAGGACTATATTTTTTTTGCAAGTGAGAAAGAAAGGTCAGCTTCTGCCTTATATATCTATCCGTAAAGGGGCAATGGGTTGCAAAGTAGAAGTACCCCCTTGCCCATGAACATTTTTACTAGAAATTGATTCTCAGTTCCCATTATATGTAGGTCTGAGAGATATATTGCTCTAGTGGAGTTCATGCGTAGCAAGGATTTGGTGATGAGAACGCTTATAAATGATGTTGAGCTCCATATACTTGCATCCATAGCCATGTGCACTGATTCTCAAAGTACATCTATAATTTCTATGTTCTTTTCTCATTTTTGATGAATTTTTAGGTAATAATATATTTACCTGTATATGCAGAAGATTATGCCTTTTTAAAGTGGGTTACTTGTTTGGTTTCATTTGTTCATCAAGTTTTTTGCTCTATAACAGATTGTCCAAAACAAGATGGTAACAACAGCTAGAGTGTGTCTAATGATATAACATTTAAGTAAAAAACAACAAACTTAAATAGAATACTTGGAATGCACTGGTGGATATGCTCACGGCAGGAAAAATGTGAATTACGTGGGAATTTTCCTAGGGATTGGTATGAAAATCCGCAGGAACCTTATTTTCCTGCAAATTTTCATATTAATCTCCAGGAAAATTCCCATGTAATATATTTTGAGGGAAAAGGAGAACTTGATTTTGCTGATTATGATTTAGCTTTCTGTATCTGATAACATTTTGCCTCCACATATCATTCTGTTCATATGGTAATCTTAATTCCAATCAAGTATCTGTCAACTTCTAAATTTCTTGTGTTTTCTATGTGAACTTGCAGAAAAAAAATGTAAAATTTGCGGTGACACAGGTTTTGACAAAGAAATTACTACATGTTATCAGTGTGACAATGTTGACGTACATCCGTAAGTTCTCTCTCTCTTTTCGTAGCATGAAAAGGTGGACAATCAGTTAGAAAATCCAAAAGTCATGTCTCTCTTTCAAGCTTCATCACCTTGTGTCATATCTATATGTTCTTTGTAAATCTCAAACATTGGCCCAATCCCAAACCCCTTTTTTTAGTTTACTTGACATTTCTAAGAGAGATGTTGATCTTTTACACAAAGGGTTGCTCCTGTTGAAGGAAATTGCTAGTTAGATTATCAGTTTTGCTTTCCTTTTTGATTTTTTTTTCATGTTGTGGCATTTAATTCTCATAAATACTGCCTATATCTTTTATGCATACATAGTCCTCTTCTTGTTTTAAATATTATGTGTTTTTCTCTTCCTTTAAGATATTGCATGCTGGGCTGTTGTGTTGATGCACCAGTGGATTGGTGTTGTGAAGAATGTGATATTAGGAAAGGGATAATGTCTTCATCAAATGGACTAGGAAATATGCATTATGAGGGATCCAAGTTACATGCATTTGAAAAGATTTGTCAGAGTACTGTGCAACCAAAGAAACATAGTAAATTTCCTCGTGCACATCGTATTAACGGGGAAAAGGAGGTACAGACCGGGAAAATGAGATATCTATCAGTTGAAGAAGCACTTGGTCTTTCATCAAGCATCAAGAAATATGGATCTACGCTGATAAATACGATCTCCTCAAGAGTTGTGTCAACCAAATCCATAGCAACCATGACTCGAGGGATTTTTGGCAAGCCTACAGCTCAAATTTCAAACTCTTTTCGTGAGAAAAGCAAAGTGCAGCTGCCTTTAGCATCAACAGGATATACTAAACCTCAAAATCTTTGAATTGCCAAAAATACTGAACATAGCAAAAAAAATGTTCAATTATCTAAGGTTAAGTGTTCACCACAATATTTTGTATTAATTACTTGATTTGATTTGTCCTCTTCTTATACCTTTATACTTCAGAAATTTCATTTTCTAGCATATACTCTAAATAAAAAAAATTCTTTTAATGATGTTGATATATCTAGAGTTGTTATTATCTTTCAAAATAATTTCCGTTACACCATCAACATCTATAAAGCTCTCATAGAAAAATTTCTTTACTTATGTACTTCCATCAAATTGATATAGCCTATTTTTTTAGGTCCGGGTGGTTCTACCAGTCTTGAGCATACGAGTCCTGATGATTTGAATAAGAGTCGAATAATGAATTCATCTATGACACACCCTTGTGATCCTTCTCTAGTTCCTTCCCGAAAGTAAGTACCCTTCATTGTGTACAGTTAGTACTAATTCAAATTTAGCTCATGTCTGTTTTTGGATGGCCCATCTTTGCTAGTAATCAGCTGACTGATTAACTACTCTTTGTAATTTCCTTATTGATAAATACGAAAACATATATAATACACTTTTTCAACAACATAATGTTCGTCCATGATGAGATGGCATAGTGGTTAAGGCTTAGGACTAACAACTTGGACATTCTAGGTTTGAATCCCAGCTACAACACATTGTGCGCCCATCTGATTTAGACTTACTGGGAACCATTAGCGTGTCAATATGTGTTTGTGGGATGGACTAGTTGCCCAATGAATTAGTTGGGGTACATGCAAGTTGGTTGGGACGCCATTAGTATCGCTAAAATAATGAGTAGGGCACTGAAGAATATATGATATAATGATAATCTGAATGTGTACTGCTTAGTCAGATGATAATTGATCTAATCTCTCTTCTTCTTTGCATTTCAGGGGAAGTTCTGACATCTTAGGTGCTTTGGAATTTGTACCTAGGATGCTCAATAGTTGTATCCTGGCTCATCCTCCTTCTAGAGTTAGATGTAAGGTGTATGAGTTCTCAGGTCATTTGCCTGATACTCTTAAATTTGAACTTGTTCCCCGTGGGGATACTTGGGAAAGTCTATTTAACAATCATATTCCGAGTAAAGAAGATATAGGACTGTATTTTTTAGCAAGTGAGAAAGAAAGGTCAGCTTCTACCTTATATATCTATCCGTAAATGGGCAATGGGTTGCGAAGTAGAAGTCCCCCTTGCCCAGGAAGGTTTTTACTAGAAACTGATTCTCATTTCCCATTATATGTAGGTCTGAGAGATATATTGCTCTAGTGGAGTTCATGCGTAGCAAGGATTTGGTGATGAGAACGCTTATTAATGATGTTGAGCTCCTTATACTTACATCCACAACCATGTGCACTGATTCTCAAAGTACGTCTATAATTTCTATATTTTTTCCTCATTTTCAATGAATTTTTAGGTAATAATACATTTACTTGTGTATGCAGAAGATTATGACTTTTTAAAGTGAGGATACTTGTTTGGTTTCATTTGTTCATCAAGGTTTTTGCTCTATAACAGATTGTCCAAAAGAAGATGTTAACAACAACTAGGGTGTGTCTAATGGGATAACATTTAAGTAAAAAATAACAAACTTAAATAGAATACTTGGAATGAACTGGTGGATATGCTTCTGCTAGATATTATGAGAGAAAAAGAGAACTTGATTTTACTGATTATGATTTAGCTTTCTGTATCTGATAACATTTTGTCTCCACATATCATTATGTTCATATGGTAATCTTAATTCCAATCAAGTGTTTGTCAACTTCTAAATTTCTTGTGATTTCTATGTGAACTTGCAGAAAAAATGTGAAATTTGCGGTGACACAAGTTTTGAAAAAGCAATTACGTGCATCAGTAAGTTTTCTCTCTCTCTCTCTTTCTCTTTTTGTAGCATGAAAAGGTGGAAAATTAGTTAGAAAATCTGAAAGTCATGTCTCTCTTTCAAGCTTCATCACTTTGTGTCATATCTATATGTTCTTTGTAAATCTCAAACATTGGCCCAATCCCAAACCCTTTTTTTTTTAAGTTTACTTGACATTTCTAAGAGAGATGTTGATCTTTTTACAGAAGGGGTTGCTTCTCTCGAAGGAAATTGCTAGTTAGATTATCAGTTTTGCTTTCCTTTTTGATTTTTTTTTCATGTTGTGGCATTTAATTCTCATAAATACTGCCTATATCTTTTATGCATACATAGTCCTCTTCTTGTTTTAAATATTCTGTTTTTTTTCTCTTCCTTTAAGATATTACATGTTGGGTTGTTGTGTTGATGCACCAGTGGATTGGTGTTGTGAAGAATCTGATATTAGCAAAGGGATAATGTCTACATCAAGTGGACTAGAAAATGTGCATTATGAGGGATCCAAGTTACATGCATTTGAAAAGATTTGTCAGAGTACTGTGCAGCCAAAGAAACATAGTAAGTTTCCTCGTGCATATCGTATTAATGGGGAAAAGAAGGTACATACCGGGAAAATGAGATATCTACCTGTTGAAGAAGCACTTGGTCTTTCATCAAGCATCAAGAAATATGGATCTACGCTGATAAATACGGTATCCTCAAGAGTTGTGTCAACCAAATCCATAGCAACCATGACTCGAGGGATTTTTGGCAAGCCTAGAGCTCAAATTTCAAACTCTTTTTGTGAGAAGAGCAAAGTGCAGCTTCCTTTAGCATCAACAGGATATACTAAACCTCAAAATCTTCGAATTGCCAAAAACATTGAACATAGCAAAAAAATGTTCAATTATCTAAAGGTTAAGTGTTCACCACAATATTTTGTATTAATTACTTGATTTGATTTGTCCTCTTCTTATACTTTTATTCTTCAGAAATTTCATTTTCTAGCATATACTCTGAATAGTTTTTAAAAAAAATGATGTTGACATATCTAGAGTTGTTATTATCTTTCAAAATAATTTCCGTTACACCATCAACATCTATAAAGCTTTCATAGAAAAAATTCTTTACTTCTGTACTTCCATCAAATTGATGTAGTCTATTTTTTAGGTTTGGGTGGTTCTACCAGTCTTGAGCATACGATCCTGATGATTTGAATAAGAGTCGAATAATGAATTCATCTACGACTTACCCTTGTGATCCTTCTCTAGTTCCTTCCCGGAAGTAAGTACCCTTAATCGTGTACAATTATTACTAATTCAAATTTAGCTCATGTCTGTTTCTGGATGGCCCATCTTTGCTAGTAGTCAGCTGACTGATTAACTACTCTTTGTAATTTCCTTATTGATAAATATGAAAACATATATAATACATTTTTTCAACAACATAATGTTGGTCCATAAGGATATGGCCTAGTGGTTAAGGCATAAGACTAACAACTTGGACATTCTAGTTTTGAATCCCAGCTACAACACATTGTGCGCCCATCTGATCTAGCTTTATTGTGTCAATATGTACTTGTGAGATGGACAAGTTGCCCAATGAATTAGTTGGGGTACATGCAATTTGATTGGAACGCCATTAGTATTGCTAAAATAATGAGTAGGGCACTGAAGAATATATGGCATAATGATAATCTGAATGTGTACCGCTTAGTTAGATGATAAATGATCTAATCTCTCTTTCTTTTTTTACATTTCAGGGGAAGTTTTGACATCTTAGGTGCTTTGGAAATTTTACCTGGGATGCTCAATAGTTGTATCCAGGCTCATCCTTCTTCTAGAGTTAGACGTAAGGTGTATGAGTTCTCAGGTCTTGTGCCTGATACTCTTAAATTTGAACTTGTTCCCCGTGGGGATATTTGGGAAAGTATATTTAACAACCATATTCCGAGTAAAGAAGATATAGGACTGTATTTTTTTGCAAGTGAGAAAAAAAGGTCAGCTTCTGCCTTATATATCTATCCGTAAAGGGGCAAGGGATTGCAAAGTAGAAGTCCCCCCTTGCAAAGGAACGTTTTTACTAGAAATTGATTCTCATTTCCCATTATATGTAGGTCTGAGAGATATATTGCTCTAGTGAAGTTCATGCGTAGCAAAGAATTGGTGATGAGAATGATTATAAATGACGTTGAGCTCTTTATACTTGCATCCACAGCCCTGTGCAGTGATTTTCAAAGTACGTCTATAATTTCTATGTTTTTCTCATTTTCAATGATTTTTTAGGTTGTACATTTACCTGTGTATGCAGATTATTATGCCTTTGGAAAGTGGGGATACTTGTTTGGTTTCATTTGTGCACATTTTCAATGATTTTTTAGGTTGTACATTTACCTGTGTATGCAGATTATTATGCCTTTTGAAAGTGGGGATACTAGTTTGGTTTCATTTGTGCATCAAGGTTTTTGCTCTATAACGGATTATCCAAAAGAAGATGTTAACGGCAGCTAGAGTGTGTCTAATGGTATAACATTTAAGTAAAATAACAAACTTAAATAGAATATTTGGAATGCGCTGGTGGATATGTTTCTGTTATATATTATGAAAGAAGACGAGAACTTGATTTTGCTGGTTATAATTTAGCTTTCCGTATTTGATGACATTTTGTCTCCACATATCATTTTGTTCATATGGTAATCTTAATTCCAATTAAGGGTCTGTCAACTTCTAAATTTCTTATGTTTTCTATGTGTACTTGCAGAAAAAAATTGTGAAATTTGCGGTGATACAGGTTTTGAAAAAGCAATTCTACATGTTATCAGTGTAACAATGTTGACGTGCATCGGTAATTATCTCTCCCTCCTTCTTTTTCTCTCTCTGTCTTTTCTTAGCATGAAAAGGTAGACAATCAGTTAGAAAATCTGAAAGCCATGACTCTCTATCAAGCTTCATCACCTTGTGTCAAATCTATATGTTCTTTGTAAACCTCAAACATTGGCCCAATCCCAAACCCTCTTTTATTTAGTTTACTTGCCATTTCTAAGAGAGAAGTTGATCCTTTTACACAAGGGGTTGTTCCACTTGAAGGAAATTGCTAGTTAGATTATCAGTTTTGCTTTCTTTTTTGAATTTTTTTTTGCATGTTGTGGGATTTAATTCTCATAAATACTGCTTGTATCTTTTATGCATACATAATCCTCTTCTTGTTTTAAAAAAATTCTGCTTTTTTCTCTTCTTTTCAGATATTGCATGCTGGGATATTATGTTGATGCACCAATGGATTGGTGTTGTGAAGAATGTGATATTGACAAAGGGATAATGTCTTCATCAAGTGGACTAGAAAATGTGCATTATGAGGGATCCAAGTTACATCCTTGTGAAAAGATTTGTCAGAGTACTGTGCAACCAAAGAAACATAGTAAGTTTCCTGATGGACATCGTATTAACTGGGAAAAGGTGGTACAGACCTGGAAAATGAGATATCTACCTGTTGAAGAAGCACTTGGTCTGTCATTAAGCATCAAGAAATATGGATCTCCGCTGATAAATACGGTCTCCTCAAAAGTTGTGTCAACCAAATCCATGGCAACCGTGACTCGAGGGATTTTTACCAAGCCTAGAGCTCAAAATTCTTCCTGATGAATGCCTTTTTGAGATTTTCAAACGTCTTTCCAGTGGTCAAAAGAGAAGTGCTAGTGCTTGTGTTCCCAAGTGATGGCTTACACTTTTAAGCAACATTCGCAAGGATGAGATTGCAAAATTTAATGGATATCTTAACATGTCCTTTGTTGGTAGGAAAGCCATAGATGTAACACTTGCTGCTATTGCTGTTGGAACTGCAAACTGTGGAGGTTTAGCAAAGTTATCCATTCAGGGAAATAACCTTTATCGTGGTGTGACTGATGTTGGTCTCAAGGCTATCGCTCAAGGTTGCCCTACTCTCAAAGAACTTTCCTTATCGAATGTGTCATTTGTTGGTGATGAAGGCTTGTCTGAGATTGCTCATGGTTGTCATCTATTAGAGAAGCTTGATCTTTTCCAATGCCCAAGAATTACTAATAAGTCCTTGTTAGGTATAGCAAAGAATTGTCTCAATCTCAACTCTGTCAACGAATGATTGTTCATATATTGAGAATGAGTCTCTCAAAATTATGGGTCAATATTGCCTGAACCTTAAGCTTGTTGGATTAAAAATGTCCTTGAGTAGGCAATGCTACCATTGATGTAATACATAGACTATGTCACAAATTAATTCATCTAGAGCTGAATGGGCTTCTTCGTATAACGTCAGTGTTAAGCTTGTGATGATTTGTTCATGTCCGAGTCTTATGTATTTGTCTTTTTATAATAGTAATATCCAGTGAATTTAATTTCAAAATTTCTAATTATAATATCTAGCAATGTCTAATCTTTGCGACTAAAAAATCATTTTTATTTACTAGATAAAGAAGAAAACTTAATTGGTTATTATAAATCTCTTAATACAAGTAATAGTACTATCTAAGAATGATAACTTTTTAGCTTGCCTTGTATGTGACAGTGAAAGTCGGATCAAAGCACCACAAGTGCTATGAAGAGAGGTGATTTACAATAAATTAGACCATCAACGTAAATTTTGTCAATTCATGGTAAAGTTTATCAATACATTTAGCTTAATTAAAATAATGAAAATTTGTATAGGTGATTTCAACTTATACAAGGATTGGGTTTTATTTAGAGTGAGTTAAGTTCTGAACAAATTTATTTATTTATTTTTTACAGCTATCATATCATTAAATTGGTATCGAAAAATTATATTTTCAATTAAAAAGGAATGCGAGGATAACTAATTAATCAACTATATAAATCATTTGGATTGGTTGCGCTCTATTTAGGTCTATATATTAAATTAAAGATTCACCTTAAATTGTTCATTTTTTATAGGATAAATTTCTTAAATGATCACTAGCTTAATTGAATAGTAAAATCACTTATTTATTGTCATATCAATAATATCACACCAATAGGAAAACAATTTCAACACTAATCTCAACTTATTCAATTCCAAATCATCTATTAGTATTTTTAAGAAACTTATTTTCCATAGAATATTTTTCTCCGTACCAAAAACATTTCTCTAATATTATGACTGTTCTTATAGGCTACTAAAATATTTCCAACAAAAAGCAATTTGCTATTAGCTATTCAATTTGGTCCAATCATTTTAATATGTCAATCAATCTATTTGGAAAACCTACCAATTCTATAGGAGGAAAAAGCCATAATTGTGGTTCCTATTGAAAGGAATAATTGTCTTTTTATTAAGAACGGTGTTCGATTCAACTTGTGCACACCTAGATAGCCTGTGGGAACTTGCTACATCCTACGAGCACAGTCGAGTTGAAAGAAATCACCTAGGGTGGTGGCTAGCTCTGACATCATAGTTTCAACCCAAGGAGAACCACACCCCAAAAAAACACTATTGAGGTGGGAGAGACCGACCCCGAGGCTATATAAACCCCACATCAACACTTTGCAGTATCAATATGGGACTTGCAATGGACCATAACACAAAAGTTCATACTAGAAAACAGCTCCAATAAAGTACATGGTCTTTTTACTTTTTATAACAGAGAAATCGCAAAGGTCCAGAGGGGCACGATTCGAAACTCAGAGGATAAGGTGACTACACTACACTGACTCGAGGGAGGAAAAGATTCATAATACCTGAACAAAGCTAGAGCATCATGTAATGTATATGTAATTTATAAATACACCTTAATAAACAAGCAACAACCATTTGGTTCAACAGAACAGTTTCAGCAGCCAGTATTGTCCCCAGTTTTCTGCAACTGCAAAGTACTCAACTAGTAGAAAAGACAAAAATTCTTAAGGATTTCTGGCTACTCAACATTTAGATAACAGAGGCAAGCAGTCTGCATATTTCTGATGACCACACTCAGCAATCTTGAAAGAAGATAGACCACTACAAATTCAACCGTGCTGCGCTGACTATAGACAAAATGGTGATGTTTGACCAGTACAATATCAAGTGCATTCATTTCTCATCTTATTCATACCTTTGCAATACTTCAGGCAAAGAGCGAATGAAGATTGCTCCATGAGTATATATTCGACTTCAGTGGTTGCTTCTAATGCTCGATTGTGACGTGTTCCTGCACCAGATTAGTCTCTATTCGAGCTTTAACACCAGTCTCAGTCTGGCTCGGTTCAACAACTGATACAATCTCACACTCTTGACCATCTGCGTCAAATTCAGTAGCTTGCTTGTGTTGGTTATTTGATTGAGAAGAAACTTCACTTGTTTCCTTGGGTAAAGCATTCAGCAGAGATGCAGCTTCAGTTGATTCCTTGGATGAGCTAGACTTGCGAATGGAAAGCTTTCTTGTTTCATTGGATAAGTTGGTTTTCTCAGATGGCAGCTTAGGAAGTGACTTCCTTTGAGGCTTCTTAACAATGAGAGGAGAATGCCCTTTGACAGGGTTACTTTGGGATGCATTTTCGTCCAAGCTTAACCTACCTGGGCGCATGACACTCTCATTGATTCTTTCTTTGGTGGGCGAGCTCTTTCTCCTCCCAAGTTTGGGGGATTTAGCTCTGGTTGGTGGAATCTAGCATCATAAGATAGTGACAGAAGGTGTTAATTAAACACCGGGATAACTTGTAAATTTCAAAATAAACAGGAAGAATAAACTACTTTAGGAGGGGCTTCAGCTGTACATAAACAAAACTAGCAAGTAAGAAAGCAAATATTAGAAAATTTCTTTAGATAAAACGCACAAGAGCATGACATACCAGCATCCTAGCATGACCAGCAAAGGTAAGGCATCAAATTCAGGTTAAGATAGATATATTTTACAAATGTATAGGGCAGCCTGGCACACTAAGCTCCCGTTATGTGGGGGTCCAGACCTACACAGCCTTATCCTGCATTTCTACAAGAGGTTGTTTCCACAGCTCGAACCCGTGACCTCTTGATCATGTGGCAGAAACTTTACTAGTTACGCCAAGACTCCCCTTCATTTTAGATATGTATAGATACAAAATATACATGCACATGATAAATAGGGGCAGATGTAGACATATATACCAGAATTTCCCTTCAGAACAGATAATTTTTGCTCAACACTTTGGAGAGATTGACACAAGATAGAAGTATTTCCGCATACTATCTAGTTTCCCAACTCCATTTCTTTGCCAACTGAATAGTGAAGTGCCTGAAGGGAGCTCCTAAATCATCTCATACCACCTACTTATAAAAGCTAGCTTTGACCATAACTTGCCTGCTTGACCCATTAACATTTCCTGATCTTAAGTAGAGTAGATGGAGGAACTATAATTTATGATTGTTATGGTGATTAAGGACGGCATGTAGTGTTTATAGCACAAAAGAGAGTGCTTTCAAGAAATAATAAATAATGATCCAAAGCTAAGAGAAATTTTACCTAGTCTTAGATTTACTGAATCAGGAATATATCTAGCCTATGATGAACTGTCAAGAACCACATGTGTACTCTTCACATTTCTATCATGCTTAACCACTTTGCATCTCACTGAGTTTGCTTACAATAAGAGTCACTAATCCAGTATTAAGATAGCACCTTATGAGGCTCTGTACAGGATGCATTGTAAATCTCTCACTGCTGGTTTGGGCCAAGGGAGAGGAGGCTCTTGGGACCAAATTGAGTACATGAATCCTTGAAAAAGGTTCAGTTCATTAGGAAAGGACTAAAAACAGATCAAATGGGTAAAAGTCGTACACTGACAAAAGAATTAGAGAGTTTGATATCATGCTTGGTACAACGAGTGTTTGTGAAGGTATCATCCATGAAGGGTATCACGATGTAAGAAAAGAAAGGAGAGATATGCCCGAGATTCATGGATCCTAAGCATCATTGAGTGTGTGTGTAGGTGCAATCGTGTACCTGTAGACACTACCGCTAGAATTTACAACTTTACACCCAGTCTTTCATGCATCGCCTATTAAGTGTATACATGATCCCATGCACATCATATTAGCTGCCTTTGGCCCAGCTAAGTCAGCAAAGTAGCACTTAAAATATGAACATCGTCCCTCTTACAAAACCAGACCTTAGTAGCCTTTGTCCCAACTGTCTGCAAACTAGCACTTAAAACAACGGTCCCATCTGTGTCAGCAAAAGGTCAGCCCTTCAGTGCTAAAGATCTATCAGGTCCAACCATCCAACAATTTCACTAACAAATAAGAGCCATAACAATTTCACAATGTTGAGATGGCACACTAACGAGAGAGGATTGATTCCAAGACTAACTTTTCCACAATTTAACTTGCATATAGTGTCCCTTTTAAAGTGAACAGGTAATGAAGTTGACCTTGTCTGATACTTATCCAGGAAAAAAGTAAAAGGTTGACCTGATTTCCAGTATCATGTATTTCTACACCGGACTCATATCCTTTTCTATTGCTACTTAAGCACCAAAATCACATCTTACACACCTATTCTATCAATTCAGGTACTGTATCATCAGATTTTATTCTTGTTGATTTTTTCCTCAAAGATCAGCCACATCAATTATGCATCAAAAAGTAGAGCTTCACATATAATACTGGAACTTCACCAAGAGACAAGTTTATTATGCACTTCTTTTTCCCGATCATGCTAAGCACTTAAAATATCACAAGAAATGATGATGAAATTCCACTAGCTAACAATAAAGTCAATCTTCACATAAATGTATCAATTGCAATGCTCCATTTGTGGTAAAAAAATTCAAGAAAATGAACACCCAACTCTACAAAGCTATATCCAGTTTAACTATTGATCTATGACTTTTTTAGGAGCTCAGTAGTACTGCAATTTCACATAAATATATCAAGGGCGATCGCCAATAGTGGTTTAAAGTCAAGACACTGAACCTCCCAACTCTACCAAGCTATATCCAGTTTAACAATTGTTAGCTAAGGGTATCTTTTCAGAGCTCAGTAGTACTGCAATTCCTTTCTTCATAGTTCATCATATTTAGACAGAACATGCAGTTTCAGTGTCAAGTTGAAAGCATTCAAAAGATCAGCAAAAGGATGAACTTGAACCTAACTCGTTTACTATATTTTACTAGAGCTTCAAAAAACAAAAACAAAAAATAAACAGTGCTCCACATTACATTACCTGACACCAAATATATTTTTAAAAAATCAGGATAAAGCAAATGATATTTATCAATTCTGGTAACAAAATCATTTTGAGCCAAAGAACCACTAAATATTCAATATACTATGTCTAAGAACAGCAAAAGGCATTTCA